ACCGCTGTGGTCTGTTGCTCCGCTAACGCCGGACAAAGGATTTCAGCATTTTTAACCAATTGGCTAAAGGAACCCGGTCATGAAAATTTGTTAAAAAACCTTTGATTCGATCCTCACATGAATCAATGTAGTTAAGAAGAAATGACACTTATAATTGGAGCGTGTACGATCAAAAGTACCGAGTACTGTGGCGGTTAGGCGTCGCAGAACGCCAGAGAGCACTGTGAAAGCGACTTTTATGCATGTATTTGGACGTACTTCTGCCAAATGGAACTATGTGCATTATGACGTGAGCCCTGTTATGCACGTATTCTTATGGGTCTCAGGGCTCACGTTTCAATGCACATAGTTCCGTTTGGCAGAAATACGTTCATTTAACAAATGACATTAGACCTAGAAATTTAAATCGAATTGCTCCGCTGACACCGGGCGAAGGATTTCAGTATTTGCAATTGATCGGCTAAACGAACCGGTTATGACAGGTTGTTAAAAAAGCTTCGATCCATCACTATAGTTAAGTGACAGCTTTCGAATAAATTCAAATATTAGTCATTTTGAGTATACGTCGTTTCAGGGCATACTTCATGAACAACTTCACCCCAGAGCTCATTTTTTAGTTTCAAATACAGGGCCGGATTAAGGGGGTGGGGGGCCACATGGGCCGCGGCCCATGGCGGTAAATCTAGGAGGCGGCAAATTTTGCAATTTTTTTAAATGTAGGTATTAAAATAAAAATCGGATTTAGAAAAAAAATTACAAACAAAATCTCTCATTTCCTGAGAGTATAATAATTTCTAATTTTGTCGTCTTTCGGTGACACAAGAGACAGCACCTTTAATTAATCGAGGGAAGAGAGAGAGACCTAACACGCAATTTGGCCGGGAACGGCGACTAAGAGAGAAATGATGATGAGGACTTGAGATGAAAAGGAGAAGCCCTCGGCGCAGCGGTCGGCATGTAACACATAGCGCCTTCATTCCTACTAGACTGCACGAGTGCTTTAACGCATTGCGTCAAACACAGTGCGGTCAGCGTGAAACGAATAGCGCCTACAAGACTGCGTGAATACTTTACCCTTTACGAAGTAGGGTTAAAAATGTAGGGAAAGGGAAAGTGCCTAAGGTACATGGACGGCCCCAAATGAAAGAAAAATAGTAATGCAACTTTAAATTTACAAGAAAAGGGAGAGGAAACAAATGTGTTTCGTTGTACAACATCCAAGGAAACGCTAGTTTTGAAAGATGATAAATTCGTTAGCGTTGGGGTGGCTGCACAAAATTGCAGGTTGGCAACGCGGTGGGTCCCCCGGCAGAATAATAATTTGTCTAGATTGAGTGTCAGCGACACTTCAGGAGCGGCGGCGGGCGCGAACCGGGAGGCGGGGGCGGAGGGGCGACGCGATATCCAAACAAAAGAGGCTGTAAAATATTGACTTAATAATAGTAAGTTGGCAATCATGGAGTAATTACGGGCCCTCCACTTTTAAATGGACCGAAAATAGACGACAAAGATACCTTGAGTCATCCTAGTCATTAGACAATTCAGTTCGTGCTCTTCTTCCGTCGCGTCGTTTGCGTTTCTGCCTAATCTTTTAAGTTCCTACCCTGGATTTTTCCGCCTTTTCGCTCCGCTTTCAGCTCAATTAAACGGCCAACTGCTCCGATGATTGAACTCGCGGATGACGTGCTTTTCGCCCCGTGTTTCGGGTGTTGATATCGGTTCGGCGCTGCCCCTTGGTTTACGCGGGAAACCGTTTGAATTTAAATAGTGTGCCGGGATACCACGTGAGAATGTCGCCCATCCAGTGCCTACTGTTTTCCTAACGCGACAAGGGACAGATGAGTGATTGTTCGGGATGTTGACGTGTGTTATTCCGTTCTGTGCTACTTGACTATGCAAAAACAATCAAACGACTTTCTCATGGAAACATTTCCATTTTATTTCCCGCGGAGTGATTGCAAGCCACGTGCGTGGTGACGAGAGAGGTGAAGCGTTGCTCATATTTTTACTTTTTTTCTTTTTTGGTTTCTTCGCACTTTCTACTAATCTTAAAAGGAAAAAGGCTCGTGATTAGACTGCGTCTAGCAAGAATAGACGCTGAAGAGTCATCTCAGCTTCTCATCTAATCTTTAGGAGAAAATTTTAATTTACATGATGCCGACTTTATCGAACCAATGCATTTCCATTTGTCTCTATCCAACGGGGCATCAGTCAGGAATGTCATTTTTTAGTTACTGATCGTCGATTCTGTCATCATTGATTTAAAAAAAAGACTTACGTCGAAAATCACATGAAAGAATTCAGCTGGGAGATTTCTTCGCGTCTTTCGTAAAAGTCGAACTGATTCCAGAGAAAAAGACTACGTCCATGTTGATTTTTAGTTTGATTTTTATGGGAAGTCGAGACAATGGAGTAGCTAGTCGACTCGTTACTCCTAAAAAAATGTTGCCATTATTGCTGAATACAGTCATCTAGTGTTTATTATTTGCCTGTTCGTTATACTAGCATTGATGATGATTGTACGTTCTCTAAAACACTTCGTGGGCGCTATGCCTATGGTTTTCCCAACTGCATCGAAGAAAATTCACCTAAATTTTCGTCTGTTAACTTATGACTGTCGAGGACAGACTAGAAAGGGCCCACGTGAAATATTAGGTTAAGGTACTCTAAACGCTGATTTACAATTTATGGTCTCGAGTTAAAAATGCACTTGGGGTAACAATCATTTGTTTAAAGTTTCATTAAGAGACAGACAGGAGGAGTACCTACATGAACAAATTTAGGTTGGAATATCAGCCCACGTAAAAATATTTGCGAATGATAGGTAATCCTACCCATGCACTTTTGCGTTGCCTTTGCAGTGGTGGGAGACTAACTTAAGGGTTTGTGCCTTTACAAGCTCATGGCAGAAGGACAAGGCCTCCTTCTTTCACGGTAACTTCCTTTCCATTACAACTAATTTTAAGCCCTGCACTTTGAAGCTCGCGCCCCGCACATTTCTTTTTTACTCATTTATTTTTTAAAAAAGCTGACCATGAGTTTCTTTAATTTTCTCTCACACGTGACCCAACTTTATAGATTCATTTCCTCATACTTTTTAATTATCTTTTTTACTATTATTAAAGTTGCCTCTGAATGATAAAATCTGTATACATTTATGAGAAATTGCTTTAAGCATTCCTAATAATTGTTCACGTGTTCTAAAAAATCACTTTAACTACGCCTGAAGGAGCAGAGAAGACTCCTGAACTCTAACTTAAGAAACAGGAGTGCTTCATAAATGCAGCTGCGAGAAAAGTCAAGAGAGTGCGTCGCGTCATAACAATGATGTGCTTTTAATAATAATGACGGAGGCACAAGTCTATTTTCAGTCCTGTGCTTTGAAGTTTTATTTTTAGGTTAGGACTTTGAGTGTAGGTGTATAGCTTGCAGACAATGGAAACCTCTGAATTTTTAAGCTCCCGCTAAGTGGCTCAGGATATTCGAACTTTCCTCTAATGAGCCTCCATTTGTTGCAGTTTAAAAGCTAAGCAGCTTTTAGTTGGAAACTTTCACGGCCTCGTTTTAATGATATGCTCAACTTCGCTAGGTCTGCGTTCGCCAAGGGGCGTGCAGTAATGACGTCTAACCATGTGGCATGTGGCATCCGGATTCGAGCGTGCGGAGAAATGCTTATTGCGGTTTCGGCGACATCTTCTTGCGGAGTGATTAGTCACTAGGAATTGATTGATGGCCTCTCACTTACGATGCCAAAGTAAACATTCGCTCCTCCTTAACGGTTCGCGATTCAAATTTTGCGCGTCTGAGATTCCTCAGGGTTCCAGGGCTCCTCTCCAAATTCCGAATTCTCTCTGTTTTCTCTGCGTTTTCCAAAAAAAGTGTGCCCCTAATAGATCGTATTTGATAGTGGTTCAATGTATTGTTTGGTTCAAAACAATAGAGCATAACCTCAAATAAAAAATTTGGGATTTAAGTTGGAAAAGCTAAAAATGAGGAACACCAGATAAATTCATTTACCCCCCCCCCCCCCCNGATGACTTTCGATAGATTCGTAGATTCTGTAGATTTCGTAGATTTCTACGAATCATATGAAAGTGGGTCTTCATCCCACTCTTCATCTAACATAAATACACGCAAAAATTGAAAGAGTGAGTGAGGGAATCTTCAATGTTACCAAAAGCTTAGGTGAATTTGTATGCTTTTCAGTAGAAAGACGAACTTCAAATGCAAGTTGAGAACATTTTTTGGCTCTTTGCCAAAGAATGCAGACAATCATACAACTCAAAGTGCATTGTTTTACATGGGAAGTAACGCGACAGCATATTGTACTGTAAACGTGTTTTAGATCGCTTTACGATAAATATTCGCCTATTCAATGATCGATGATCAAGACCAACATAGACACTGCAGACCACTAAGTATCATCTTAATAAAAAAAGGCAGAATTCTAAACCCTTGATACAACTTCTTTGGCAGTAATTTTCAATCATTAATGAGGGATATTATCGATTTAAAAGTTGAAGGAAAATATTTAGCTTTTATGGGTAAAATTCGCGTCTCAGGGTGTCCTTTGCGAAAAAATTGAACAAAAAAGATTTTCGTCTCGTTTTTTGAGTTCGAAGCTAGTTTAAGTTTTTTTGTAGCTCTCTAATGCAGCCCAGAAAACCAAGCAGAACTCAGTTAAGCTACCGGAAATACACATCCATGCTCTAGGCTTTCAAATTTTCAAGGATTAAGACCGAGTGGTATCTGTTTCTGCAGATACATCCGTCAGTCCCGTGAAAATTTGTAGCCACTACCAGGATTCGAACCGGGACCTATTGACCTAGAGTCAGATGTATACTGACCACTAGACCTAGGTTTTAATCCAAGTAATTGCTCTCTGTATGATTTTTGTCGAGAAGAGTATTCTTGATATCACAAAAATGTCACTAAAATCCTTGATCCATGATACATTTAAAATATAACATCATTCTAATATGAACGTTTTTATGGTGCAGGTGCAAGGTGAAATTGTGACGACCATCTTGACGCGACGGCAATCATTTCAAGCAAAAGTGGATCCACAAACGGGGACAGGAGTCACAGAAGTGAGACACGATGCCGCAAATTCATTCCAATGCACACCCTTCTCCGAGTCAGAGAGCACACAATTCCTCCGTCTGAACTCGGTGCAGCCATTCACTCTCACTTTCCAGACACAGCAGTTTCCTGAAATCACGGTAAGTACCATCTAAACTATCTCTAGTTGCTTCACATCACCATCTCCGAAAATAGAGATGTTGCATGTGTGAGGAATTTGCGATTTGACTGTTGTTTCTTATGTAAAAGTTCGCAAGAAACACGACGGTGCCACTGGTTTTCTCTGAAATCAACTCCCAAGCTCGAAAAAAGCTCTCAAGTTGAGGCCAAAATGGAGGAGATATCCCACCCTACCATGAGAGCCCACGTCTACATCAAGACAAACTCTCCATGCAAAGATAAGGAGCAAATACATTGACAGGGCTGCCACTTTATTTGGGGACTCCAAAACTGAAAACACGGCAACCCTGCTAATGTATTTGCTCCCTATCTTTGCATAGAGTGCGTTTGTCTTGATGTAGACGTGGACTCTCAAGGTAGGGTGGGATATCCCCTCCATTTTGGCTTCAGTTGATTTCAGAGAAAACCAGTGGCACCGTCGTGTTTCTCGCGAACTTTTACATATGAAACAACAGTCAAATCGCAAATTCCTCACACATGCAACATCTCCATTGGTCAGGCTATTGCAACAAGGATTGCAAAATATCTTTCGATGGTCAAAGTCTGCCACCACGGATCTCCGAAAACCCGATTTTTTAGGAAAGTGAAATATTCCTCATCTTTGAGTGTGGAGGGAAAATATTTTTTGACGCTTTTTAAGACAATCAGCATTTTGAATGATAAGTATTTCCCATCTGTCAGGAGAAACGGCCGAAAAACCGAAATGCGTGTTCTTGCAACTAAGGGCCAACAATTAATTCCGAGATACGTGGTTTGATAGTTGCTGTTTCAGACCTAGTATTTGCCGATTTTGACTGAATTAAGACTCAAACTATAGAGTTCGTCAGAACTACGTACTGTAATTTGCCTTTTAGAGGGTTCAATTATTCCCGCAGCTGGATAGCTGGCACGTTGCAAATAATGTGGATTACTGGATGCCATAAAAAATCTCACAACCTTTGATTGCACTGGCACAAAATTGAAAGAAACCGGCACCTTCAAAAGTATTATTATTCACAAAATCTTCTTGCGAGAAGTTCCCGAGTAATCAGTCGCCTTCAAACACGTACATACGCAACACTTATGACAAAAGGTTACTCGCCTTTCATCTAAGAGACTGTTATCAGCCGTGGGAATGTGACTTTACTCCATTTACTTAGAGCAGGCTTGACCGTCAGAGTTTTAACAGCTACTTTAACTATTATACTCCCAGGCCTTGGGTTATGATGGGTGCCGGTGCATACGAATTTTAGATAAAGATCTTCAAATACACCCTAAAAAACGAATCAGACATCACATTGAAGAAAGACGAAAGAAATCGAGTGTCTACACAGCCCAAGATAGGAGAGACGTCAGCGGACCTCGTATTTTAACTTTTCTCTCGAATCTGAGCGACACCTCATTGGCGCGAAGCGGAGCGTTGCGAATTCACGCCTCGCGCCGTCGCGCCTTCAATTTTGCAGCTGCAACACGGACATCCATCAAGCACGAATAGTTGTATGACTGCGCCGTCACGAACTCTTCACCTTCCGGCCAAAGTATCACAAGCGCTTTGCGACGTTTAAATATTTCCGCTGCTACTTTTTTTTTTTTCATAGAAATTTTTGGTTGAATCTGTTTAAGAATTTCACTGAATTTTATCGGCAGCACAAAGAAAATACAGAGAAATTTTCGGACAACTTCGTTGAACAATGTCTCCGTTAAAAAAGTAAAGTGGCGGCGGAAATTTTGAAACGTCGTCGCATGGCGCTTGTGATACTTTTGCCGGAAGGTGACGAACTCACGTTGAAGTATGTATAATTTTTGAGGGAAAACTTAAAACTTAAAAAATAAAATTAAATTAAAAACATGTTTAGAGGCATCTCAAGCGACTTCAAAGGCACACGTTTAGTGAAAAATTGGTATTTTGACGAGATTTATGTCGTGTCGGGGAATTGTTATTTTAAAGATTATCCCTAGAAATCCCAAGACGGGTCAAATTGACCCTACTTTCTCTCCACGCAGCCCCGTCTTAAATTTTGCTATATACTGAAACCGAAAATGACCTTTCATTTCTTCTCTCACCAACCAATTACCCGGAAAGTCGATTTTTCACTAAAAAATGCCCTTTTTAGATACTAAATACAGTCGCCCCTCGATAACGAACACCCTTTAATGCGGAACCTTCATAATTCGAACAAATTCCTTTTTCCCTAGAATTTCGAACTATAGAGTGGCGACTGTATCGCGTGGTTTTAGAAATTCCCTTCCCCGGCGAATGGACCACTAGACAAGGTACGAATTTAAGCAATCTGATACATGTTTCTTGACCAGAATTTTACGTAGAACACGAATCACATACAACAAAAATTACTGAAACCAACCCCTAACGAAGACATATACGTTTTTATTTCACATTGGTTACGAGGAATTTGAACTGCCCGCTCACAAGAAACTCAAAGCTCTACGTGAGTCAAATCGCTCACTACAACGGTTTCAGCAATCTTCTCAATCGAGCAATGTTCATTTCCCACCATGTGTTGTTCAAACTGTAAAGCAATTTGCTACAGCTGAGCCAAAGCGTCAAGATTGAGGTTGCCAGATTTTTCTATTGCAGAGACTGTCATGATAAATGTTTAGCGCGCGATGTGAATCACGTAGAGCATTGAGTTTTCATGAGTGGGTGGTTTGAATCCACGCATCAAAAATTATTGAATATCTTCGTAAGGAGTTGATTTCAGTAATTTTCGTTGTGCGCATCGTGTTTTACGTGAAATTTTAGTTAAAAAGCATGTATCAGAATGGTGAAATTCGTACCTTGTCTAGAGGTCCACTGGCAAATGATGAAACAAATGGGCATTTTTTTTTTTCTTTCTTTTTTTTTTGTAATTTTGTTTCCTATTGCTAAACTCCATCTATCTATTCGCATGCGCGGATGATTTTTGTTTCTCTATAGGTTCAAGAGGTGATCGACGAGCTGCTGGGTCAGTTTTCGCCGGAGCTGCAGTCGTCATTGAAAGGCGTGAGGATGGTGAACGGGAGTTGTTTCGTGAGTTTGGGGCGTCAGGCGGACTTGGACCGGGTCCTCTCGTCAGGCGTCTCGATCAAGGGCAAGACGGTGGAGCTGAGCGATGCATCCATCGGCACCAGCGTCATCTGTTTATCGGGGGTCCCCCATCACATTCCAGACCAGACAGTCGATAAAGTCTTGTCCAAGTACGGATGTCTAGTTGGTGAGTCCCATTCACTCTTCTTCACGTAGTCGTTCATAAGGAATGGTCCAGAGGGGACCGGGAGGAGAACTACACGACACGGGATGGGGACGGGTGGTCCGGGGGCCTGGGGTGGGGCCTCCCCCAGAAATTAGTTGAATTTTTGAGGTATCTAATATGCAGTTTGAGACAATTTGGTCATGAACAATTACCAAATATAAACGCCTTTACTTCTTTTTTCCAATGTTTCTTTCTTCATTCTTCCTTCTCTTTTTCTTCCTCTTTTTTGAAGGAAATGCTGCGAATGGGGAGAGGGAGGCGTATGCCCCCTACGTACCCTGGATCCGCCTAAGCTTGCACCATATTTAACAAGCTAAGTTGTGTGCAAAAGTTTGTGAGAACAAAAGAATGTCACTGGTTTTGTTTAGAATCAACTAAGCTCTAAGAAAAGCTCTTAAACAGAGGTCGTAATTAAGAATGTACTTTATTCTTTCTCTCAGAGATTTCACTTCCATGTTCAGTCGAACTTGTCCACGCAAAGATATGACTGAAAGCAATAGCAGGGTTGTCACATTATTCAGGGTCTCTCAGTGTCAAAAAGGTAATATTTAGCCCAATCATCGTAACCTATTCTAATGCATTTGCCAATATCCTTGAGAAGACATTATTTATTAGGAAAACTGAGGTATGAAGTCTCTCATGGGACGAAAGGGGAGAGTTCATCCATCGAGACCTCAACAGGAAATTTTTACGGGTTAGAGATTGATTTCAGTCAAAAAATTGCACCATTGAATGTCTCAAAGAAGTTCGAGACTTTGCAAGTTCACAGAAAAATGTACACTGAAAAAAAAATATACGGTCTACTGTATTGTAGACGCACCGTCCGTTCCGGGCTCAGAGGCCGAAAGTTCCGGGTGCTGGAGCCGTAGCTTCGATTGCTCCAGGTGCCACGCGCGGAACTTCCAGCCTCTGAGCCCGGAACGCGGGCGGTATGTCTACATAGCCCGTAAGTGCGGCTTCCAGGGTCGGAGTTTTCTTTCAGTGTATGTTTGAGTCGAAGATAACAAATCACTGGAAAAAAAACACATTGGAACTAGAGTCCAGACTCTTGAAAACATTGAGAAGAAAAAATACTCTTGATTCAATCGGATTTTCGCTTGAATCAAAACGAAATCCGCTTAAATTAAGAGGCTTGGCTCTTGATTTAAGCTAGACTCTGATTGAATCAAGAGTATTTTTTCTTGTCGACGATTTTAAGAGTCTGGACTCTAGATCCAATGTGTTTTTTTCCAGTGATTGATTTCCATTTTTCCGGATAATTTACAACGACCCTTTTTTCCAGGCCAGGTGGAGCGGCGACTTTACAAAGGCGTGGACATCGGTGAGCGCTTCGCCCGGCTCCGGGCGCGGCTGGCCGTCCCGCGGTTCCTCTCCATCGCTGGGCACACCGTCAAAATCCGCGTCCTCCACGACGACGAAGTCAACAACCTGAGCATATCCCGCAGGAGATCCTTCCGCTCCCAACTCAACATCAGACTCACACTCCCGACGTCGGACAACACTCCCGACTCCTCCGCCAACGTCAACGACTCCCAGCCGTCGCTCTCCGACAGAACCGTCCCGCAAATCCACCTCACACCCCCGATCCCACCCTTACCGGGCGAGGCGGCGGAGAAGCCCGTCATCTCCCCTCCGTTCGGTCACTACAACCCCTTCTGCGACGTCACCCAGAACTTCGCCCCCTCGACCGAGAGCCTAGAGAACAAGACCAACTCCTCAAGAAACACTCACCATTCCCTCCCCGACTTCGTGGCGGTGTCCTCCTCCTCGGACCCGCACTTCTTTTACCCCGCCTCGAGTGGAGTCGTGTCCGCACCCGGGACTCTAACCGGCAAGGCGAAGGAGCCAGACCTCAAAGCTGGTCAGGCGAATTGCTTCCAGTTCCCAACAGTGGCCGGGACTTCGGAGACGGGGAACCAAAGCCCGCCGAGCAGCGTGGACAAGAAGACTTGCAGCTCGGACAAGGACTTGGACTCGGAGAAGGAGAAGAAGGGCGAGAAAGGGAAGAAGAAGGGGAAGAAAGGCAAGCTGGCGAAGCAGTCCAAGTTGGCGGAGAGGAAGTCCGGGCCGCAGGTTAGCACGGAGTGCTCGCAGAGCTCTTCCTCTGGCCAGGACTCTCCGAGCAAGAACCGGCGGCAGCTCTCGGTGAATTTCAAGAGGGACGGGGTGCCGGGTGGTGTTGGGGTCCCGCTCCGGGGTCACTCGCCGATCTTCCGGGCGGCGTCGTTCGAGCGCCCCAGGGTGGGCCTCGACCGGGACACCGCCGCGGATATGGGCGGCAATCTCAGCGAGTTCGAGCGGAGCAACAGCGAGACGAGCAGTCGCTTCGGCAGCTCGAACGCGCCCCGGAAGATGAGCTCGACCGGTCGAGAGAAGGCCAAAGTCCCTTGGTGTGGCTGCTGGGGTAACGGGTGCTGCTGACCACCCTTTATTTCTCTACTTTGTTCACGGAAATCCATGAGTTTTGGACTCTTTAAGTCGCAGAGTTAATTTTTGTGAGTAACGAGGGAGAAAAGACAATCCTGGGACCAAGCACGGTGTGGCACTGCATCGACTTCAGGTCATACGACTCACTGGAAAAAAACGCATTGGATCTAGAGTCCAGACTCTTAAAAACATTGACAAGAAGAAAAAAATACTTTTGATTCAATCAGATTTAAGCTTAAATCAAGAACCAAGCCTCTTAATTTGGGCGGATTTCCTTTTGCTTTAAGCTTAAATCTGATTGAATAAAGAGTCCTTTTTCTTGTCAATGTTTTCAAGAGTCTGGACTCTAGATCCAATGTGTTTTTCTTTCCAGTGCTGCTCGGGGTACTGGTTAGGGTGGTTTTTTTGGACATTTTGTCAATCTAAGCAACGTTTTATGAAAAACTGGCACAACTGGAATCGCATGGGGGAAGTAGAAGTAAAACAGTGCACATTCATTTTGCAGGATATCGATGGCTCAAGTGGGAAGATTCATATACTTCTGATTGCGATGTTGCAAAGTTCCGCTCGTCTTCTACATATTCTTGGAAAGAAACTTTGTAGGCAACAGCCTATTTAAATTAAACTTCTCTGTAAATTTTCCTCACTCAATGGGAAATTTCCAAAATATATATATATTGGTTAGTTTTTTTTTTAAAGGAAAAAAGGAGTTATAATCGGAGATATTTACGAATATTCATTGAGGACCCTGGTAAAAATTGGCAGTAGAATCTGTGTTCCAAAATACCATAGACCTACAGCCGGCTGTGAGATTTCCAATAGCTTCTATAGTCGGCAACACAATTTCTTATAGCCTTTTATAGCCGATGGCGATTGAGCAACAGCCTGGCGATAAAGTGTATGCTAAACGTCACTAATTACGGATGCTAGGACTTAGTTAGTTTTTGGACTACCGCTCTTTTTTTGGGCCGTAGTATCTTGATTTATTTGGCGAGGAAAGCTCCGTACTTTTGATGGATGCCTGCCATTCCTAAAATGTTGGAGCGCCTTCAATTTCGTATGATACTGTGCAATACCTCTGGTGTGAGATAGTTGCTTCAAGCGCCATGGTACGCTACGGCGCGGCGCGGCGGGCAGGCAGCCAGCGCGAAAAGCGCACTGGCGCCTACAAACCTAACAGGGATACTTCACGTGTTGCGCAATGCGTGAAGTATCCCTGTTAGGTTTGTAGGCGCCAGTGCGCCGCCGCTCCGCTTTGTGTTAGGCTCTAATATTTAATCTCGTGGAGTCAGCGTTTTTCAACTTATGACTTTGAAATGTTCGCACACTCTGTAAGTATGGATCATTCTCGTTTTAATTGATGAAAAAAAAATATGTAGTAAAGGAAAATATAATGTGCGTTTTGTTAATATTAAGGTGATTCCGTACAAACTTAAGGATTTGTAAAGTACACGAATTTCTACACAATTTTTTATAGCCGATGGCGAAAAAGCAACAGCCAAGCGATAAAGTGTAAAGCCCGGCGATAGGAACTATAGCCCGGCTGCATAATTTTTTATCGCTTCGTGTAGCCCGGCCGTATGATTTTTTCCACTTTCTACAGCCAGCTATATGATTTCCTAGCGCCTTCTTCAGTCGGCTATAAGAACTCCAATGGTATTTTGAAACGCAGCTCCTACCGCCAATTTTTACCAGGGGAAGAATAACGCATTCGAACGCAACCGGCGCGGCGGTTGGGCACAAAATGCTTCACTTTGATCGTGAAAAAAGCCAACTCAATTTAAAATTCCAATTTTTTTAATTTTTTAAATTTCAACGATGAAAATGCAAAAATGCGTACCTCGGTTGTGGTAAGGAGACTGAAACAACATCATGGATTGAAATGTTCACAAAATTTTCTTGTTGTAGAGAAGACAGATCACCGAAGTTTTCAAGGAATGACGCACAGTAAGTAGTTTTCCACGCAGAAAATAAAGTTTGACAAGAAGTCTGCAACGTCGCAAATTCAGATACAAACGTCTATCCATTAAACTCGAAAATGGTGGGCCATAATAATTGAAGGGCTTGGAGGACAAGGCACATGCACAAGTGCAGTTTTTTTTTTTTTAAAAAAAATTGAGATATTGATGATTTTAAGTAAAACTAGTATTAATGCATAATCTGTAAAAAATTCGCTCCCAAATTCTAATTTTTAAGCATCAAAGAGTCAGTTTGAACTTTCTTTCCCTCATAAGGATTCACGAAATTTCGAAACTTCAAACACGGATTCCTGGAAATACCTAGCAAAATCTGCACGTATGCGCCTTGTCCTCCTAGCCCCTCTATTCCAGGTTGCATCTGGCGTTACCAGAAGTCTGTGATCGTGCAGAGAGTCAATGCGCCTTCATTTTAGAGTACGCAACATGGCCATCCCTTGCGCACGAATAGTTGCATCCTGCAGGCGTTGTTCTGGATCTGGACTTGCCATCATGCGTTGGCTGAGATACAGGCACGAAGGGCACCACTCGTACCCCCATTCCCTTCTCCTTTCATCAAGATTCAATAATCCTAAACTGATTAAGGGAACATTAAAAGACGCCTTCGATAAATTTCGTATTCATCAATAATCTTCTCCAAACTAGGAAATTTCTGACCAGAGCCTGTTCAACACGACGAACTGTTCCATGGATATTACTTACTGGAGTCTCCTGTGGTTCTGATTCACATACCTACCAACCACCAGAATACAAAAAATATGCCTTCTTACGAAGAACAGGAGCCCTAAATTACCTAGAGAGAACTAATTTCCCCAGGTTCTCTAATGAAGATTCTCTATTACCTACCTAATGTAGACCAATTCTAGCTCGAGATAATATGACACCCTAAACAGTTAAGAACCTCTTTATTGTAGCTAGGTACTGGGAGTGAAGCTCTTAACTTTGAAAACTACTTACTCCCATTGAAACTTTTGATATGAATCCTTGCTTTCACCAGAGAAAATTGTGTAGCAGCATTTCTGAAAAAAGAGAAAGGAAAGAAAATTTTGAATTATAACAAATGAATAACATCATCACTAAGAGCTCCTTTGATACCTGCACTCTTTTTCATATTAATTTTCCATTCACTTGGATCGAATTCAGTAAGTAGAAGATAACCAAAGTGATTATAGTTCTGTCGAAATTGTGCAACACTTTCTCTGGTTTGAATAAAATTAATTGCATGTACTTATGATGAAATTTACAGAAATATTTTCTTTTAACAATTGACTGTTCTTCACAAAAATACCAAAATAATTTGAGTTTTAACATATTTTTTAGATGAAATTCAAGTTGCACAAGTTTTAAAACATTGTAACTGCGTTGGTTCTCTCCTGCTTAATTTGTTCTACTAGAAGTAATGTCATTTCTTACAAAGTAAGTAAACTGTAAAAATAAGTTGCATTTGAACCATACTGTGCTAAAATGTTACCTATCTCCAACAAACTCCATAATACTGTGTAGAGCATTGTTTTGCTGGATGGAGCGCATTTAATCGGGGAACATGCACACCTGTTCTTATATGTTTATAAATTAGCCAATTTTGTATACCTGATCATATAATTCATATTTTTACATGATAAATATTTTGATACACGCGCCCATTTCCTGGTAATTAGATACTGTCTGTTATTAGAAACAAAATAAAATTTTGTTGAATTTTGTTTACAAAAATTATTTTCATTTAAAATCTCATGGGTGGACGATGAGAGAGCTTTATGCGTCAATACCCACCGACTCCGATGACTTGGCGTTAAGCCAGTGTGTGAGCATGAAGCTGATGGAAAATTACGCCTCCTTACTAATACACAGTACAGAGATGTTCTACCTGGCTTGGTCTTCACCTCTTCTTGAACAGTGCCAATGTTGCCACTTTTCAGATGACAATTTACCAAAATTTCCAACTCGCAGAGCTGAGCTGAGTTTCAACCTATGACGGGGATTTTCGATCAAACCATCTATTTCTTTACATATTTTCCAAGGGAGTTCATGTTTTTGACTAAGATATGAATTCTCAGTTTTCAAAAAAAATCTAAAAGTTGAAGAAGGCACCCTAATTCTAAGAGAGAGTCAACCTCCATAATTAGCCGAACGTGTCATGTAGCTACGTGGGACCGATTGTTCTCAGGGTTGTAATGACTTAATGCTAAAAGTCACCATTTTGACCAGTGGTGTTAGAAGAGAGAATACCCGGTATGTATTTATATAAATATTGCAAGTATTTATCTGATCAAAATACCAGGTTTTTTTGACCAGATCTTAAACTGAATATTTACCATGCACTAAAAAAGTCGTTTTATATATTACCTATTTCAATTTTTAGTGTGGCTTCTGCAAGAAATAGGTACACAATTTTGATTATGCTATGGAAAAGTAACAGTGCCATAATTATGATATCATTAATTTTGACTAAAATGACCAGAAAATTCAAAATGATAATGCGCTCTTACTTTGCCCAAATGAAATGATGGCTATGACCAGCAAAATTGAAATTTTTGGCTGAAAAAAATATTCAGAAAATCTCCGGAAAATATCAAGAAAAATAAGGGTTACCTAAAAAATAGAGAGAGGTCTATGAGACGACAGTCTGACTAAAAAAAATAGATCCATTTTTTGTTGAGAAACTGATCCAGTTTCTTGATGAAAAATACATTCTTTCCGTTCAGAAACTGGAACAATTTCTTAGCAAGAAATAGATCTATTTTCTTTGGTCAGACTTTAGACTCGCAGACTTTTTTCTTTCTATTTTCCAGGTAACCCTCATTTTTCTTGATGTTTTCTAGAAATTTTCTCTACAAGTGTTTTTACAGATGAACCAAAAATTGTAGTTCCTAATTGCAATATGTAGTTCATTTATACGTCACACAAGGAGAAGAAGCCAAGAAAGTTTGATCGTAAGCCCAGTGATTAATTTTCCATTTAAAAAAATAGTGTGCGATAGAAAATCTGCAATGATGTAAGTTTAAAACATGGACAATGATCGGCTCTCCTTCCAAAAATATAACGATGAAGGAGGAAATCTGCAATATTCTTAATTGACATGAGCGATTTTGTAATTTAACTACTGATAAGAGCTTTTCTCATATATTACCATGGTGAGATGAAAAAATTTATTCTAAATATTAAATAGTTTTTTTGGACCAAGAATGAACCCTGAATACTTAAAATTTGAGTTAATTACATTTTCAGAGCAACTAATGAATTTTAAAAGAACAATTTCAGAGAATTTTTAGAAAAAAAATAAGGGAATTGATTTATTCTATTTCAGCTTTTATACTTCAAGTTTCTTACGATGTTAAAATCTGATCATCTTAGGGCACCTTTCAGCTGAAGGGTATTTAAAAATTAAAGGCGTCTACTTTACTACAGATAATTAAGATTTCAATTATTTAAAGTGGAAATTCTTTCAAGAAATACTTCATAGAAAAATTGAAGGGACACAGTTCATATTTTTATTGAAATATTCGGAATAAAACTTAATAGTGTCATGAGTTTTCATAAATCTCCTGGTTTTTAATGCCTATTCCTCAAATCGTAAGGTGTCTCTGAACAGCTCAACACTTAATTTTGAGGTATCTTTCAAAAATAAATAACAAGTACATAGAGGCTATAAAGGCAGATTATGAAATCCTTATCAGTTTTTCTGCGAAGATCTCCAAGACAAGTTTGTTCTGCATAACAAGGGCCCAGAATAAGATGACTTAAAATAACAAAGGAGGAGGAAAAAAGATCTTTCATACTTGCTTAGGATAATGACTTTTTTTCTTTCTTTTTTTTTTAAAACAGCCATTGGTTTCTTTTTCATTTTCAAATATTTTAATTACAGAATTGATAGCACGGAATGTACCAATATATTATCATGGGATGGATTTCAAAACTCAACTGTATTTTGAGAAATGCTCCTCTTTTAAGGTTACTTAGCTGATGTTATCAATTTTTCTAATCTTTACATCATTTTGAAAAATCTCTAGTTGTAAAGGAGCACTTTCAGTTCGTGTGTCTAAAATTCCCTAATTTTTTCATTCTTTGACATTTCTTGATTTTTGGATGCAAGTTTTCTCATGAAAATAAGAGTTTCCTCTCTACTTTCGTGTGAATTATCTTGAGGAAAAGATTGACTTTCTTCTGGAATTCAGAGCATAACTGTAAAAAAAAAAATGCCCTCCGAGTAGGATTTGATGAAATTCCTGGTTTCTAGGATGAACAGTGAGTTCATTGATTTACACAAAGATCATTTGTACTTGATGAATTCCAGTATTTTCAGGTCCTAGACAGCAAGGTATTTACTAGCTCATAGGTTCCAAAGCGAGGTGTAAAATTAAAAATAAAAATGTAATACGATAAAATACTTTTTATTAAAACTAATTTAGTTTTTTTTTTCTTATTCATCTTTCTTTCAAAACAGAAATAGCATTTTACAAGAACGGAGTGAAGATACAGGATTTTAAAATACTACAAGATGTTATTTCATAGCTAGAGAATTAAAATTTAAATTAATTACACAAGTAACCCTGTTCATGAGAGAGAATTCAGGAAAATGACACCAAAGGATTTGATTGATTTGGCTGCTAGGAGAGCAATAATACCTGGATTATATGACTGCCGATTACCCAATGCTTTAGTTGTGGGACGCTACTTCTTCCTATCCCTTGATTTTTTCTCTGAGTTTCTACAGTTTTTATCTTGATTACTGAGAATTGCATGAAATTAATTTCTAAGTGCCAGTCATTTATGGTATACAGCATGGGTTACATCTACAAATCACAATAAAAGCCAGGTATTACTGATTTCATTAAAAGGGCCGTGCAAGCTTGGTTTTATTGGTCCGAGTCGAAATTGATTTCTTCAGAGTTTCAATTTAACTTCCGTTTCACCTTCATTTACAGCAAAGGGCACATAATTCACAGGCTAGTAAAATTGTTTTGGTAAAAAATGTCATTATACCAATGTTAACTAATATTTTAAAATTTAAAATTGAAACAATGTGTATAAATATTGACAATTATGAAATAGAAGACTTTCTAAGACTAAAAACAATTCTGACTTGAACCAATGTTGAAAATTGAATTTATTTTGGGCAGATTCTTAGAAGGATAAAATTAGTTCACAATGATAATTTAGTGCAAGATCCTTGCATCTCGCTGAGGTTATTCTCTTGAACAATTTGAGGCTTACATCTTTCACTGATCTTGACAAATAGTATCTTTATAGGTCCAGATCTGAAAATGCTTGACAGTATCATGACATCTGCATTCATCTTGGTACTCCTTCCTTTCTTTGCAACATTTCTTTTAATGAATTAAATGAAAATCAAAAACTTCTTTGTAACATAAATTAGTTCTGACTAGAATTTAGCGTAAGTTAAAATACAGTTGTTGCGCATTTTATTAAAACCTACACTTAAAATAGGAAAACATTTCGACCGAAAATGATTTTTCATTTCATTCCTAGATACTGTTTACACAAGTCAAAAATAATAATAAAAAAAGAAAGAGCAGGACACTCTTAAAATAAGATTATTAAAGAAACAAACAAATAAAGAAAACAATAACATTGAACAGGTATTCACCTCCAGTGCTGAAAGAAACAGTGATGACACATTTTTCTTTGTAGTAGAATTGATTTTAATGAGCATGGGAGTGACCGCTTAAATGCTGAGTGCACTTACTAAAACTCTGCAAGTTTTCTGTGTCCACAAGAAATGATCCATAAAACTGGTTTATAAAGTTTGGCATAACCTTGCTTAGAACTGAATTTAATACCAGCAAGTTAACAAAGATTCGGGGAAATATTTTAAAAATGTGATAAAAATATAAAAAAGAAAAAAACCTGAATCATAAAATGTTAGCAGAAAACGAGACAAGAAAAAAACTAGTCATGTGGGCATAAAATATGATGGCAGGCTTGCATTTGTTACATGAATTGCTTTTTCTTGCTGACAATTAACTTTTCAGAGCTTCTCTCAAAAAACTTTTATATCCAGCTAAATAGCAAATGGTTCAATATTTTGAGCTTTTTGTAATACATTTTCTCTTTGCCTATCGATTTCAACTATCAGCTCGTAGTTCCGAGCAGTCGATAAAAATCTGAGTATATTTATAAACTGAGGGAAATCAAAACAAAAGGGACATAATATGCTCTTCATGACTAATGTTTTCTCTTAAATAAGAAAAGATAAGTAGCAAAGAATGAATGAAAAAATAATTCTAGGACAGTTTTCATTTTTTATTCTAGCTTTGAAATTCTGTAAGAACAATAGAATGATTATATATCACAGCTACACTGACGATGTTATGAACGGAGCAACTAAGTTAACAAATGCTTGATTGCCTGCATATGCCCACGAATCATTTTCAAACAAGCTGAAACATCAACTAGTCAGTGTACATGTCTGTTGTTTCCAAAGTTTTTGTATAAAACTTCAAGACATAGATCATAATATGTGAAATGTATGGTTCCACACACTAGGTAAATCACATAATTAAAAAAAAAAAGTATTTCATATTTCTAAATATAAAACAAAATTAAAATATGAACATTATATAATACACAACATATGAAACAGAGAACATTTTAAGCAAAAACATCGACTTTCCTTTTTACGCATATTTTCTTGAAATTATTTACTTCCATATAATTTATATTGATTCTTCTTCTTTTGTATAAACTAATCACATAAAATTAAATCATTATTGTCTGATACTTCAATCATATTGGCGACTCCTTTCATGATTGTTAAAACGAAGAACAGATACAAAGGACGACAGAAAGAAAACAATTACAAATACTGGAAAAATAAGCATAATAGAAGCGTTGTTAAAATCCGCAGTGCACAGTGCTGAGTATCTGATTGTACGCTGAGCTCAGTGAGAGTGTTCTTACTCTTCCACTGGAATTAACCAAAGACCAGCCATCTTTTTAGCAAAGTCAGTCAACGAGTCAGCGAGGGTCTGAGGCTTGCTGAGTCGCTGACCTACCTTGTTTACTAACAAATCCACATCATCACTAAGCAGATAAATAAAAATGGCGGACTGATGTCATTTCACTGACTTCGATTTTTGACTTTCACAACGCAGCTTTCATTTATTTTATTCAACTTACTTTTCCTTAGCAACCACAGTTGTTGAGAGAAAAGCTCAATCACAGTATGAACTTTACTATTTTAGGCAATATTTGATCATATATTGACACAATTACAAACCATGAAGGAAGCAATTGTACTTCAGACGCTCTGACATAAATGCCTAAAAACTAATACTCCATGGTACAATCTAAGTGTGGGACCATACGTAATTAATACTACTGGTTATTATTGCTTTTGCTCTCCTACAATTTGAGAGAAATTTCTTTTCAAAATAACCAATTTCTCCTTCAGATACTTCTCTGGGGACCAGTTGCTTGTGTTACAGAATTATGTCTTGATGCTCCTGAGACTTGCAAAAAAGAGTAAGTTTAATCCAATACCAAGTTCTTTGTTCATTTTCATGGACGCACTACTGAAGAGCAAAATGGAAATCCGTCCAGCACGGTTGTGCATAACCCAGTTTTTACCACTTTAGATTCATTGCTCAGTGATTCACTCACTTATCCCAATTGCTCAACAGATCACTGTGCAACCTAAGTGGAAAAAAACTACTGTCTGCACTATAGCAGAGGATGAATTCAATTAAAACTATTCTTTTGAAGACAACATTGGCATTAATAATGAACATCAAAACTTGGGTTTAAAGTAAATTTCATCACTTTTTGCTGCTAGATACATTGAGATCTCCTGAACACAATTTTGTTACAGGCGCAACTGATCCATTTCATGAGATAAAATTAACTGAAACAGACATGATTAGCCACTACTCAAATGTACATTTGTCAAACGAGTATTGTTAAAATTAGCTGATCCATTATCAGATATAATTTCCGGCAATCTGAATCTGTTCGGCAATTAAAAACTTCGTGCACAACTAGAGACAGCATGTAAAGGAAACTACTTTCTACAATCTGCTACAATACAGTTGTATTGCTACTTTAGTCTGTTCCAGAGATATTTATTTGTGGAGATATGAGAATCGATTTCAGTAAATTCTAATGTGACTTCCTCTCATCCAATTTTAAAAATGCCCAATGAATTTAAAGGTGGAAAAAAAGAGAAGCATTTATTTTTTCATGATGGTAACATTACTGTATACCAAGAAAGATAATAATACTTAAAAATTAAAATTTTAGTATCAGTAAAAACATAAAATTATGACTGCTTTAGAGATCCTTACTAAAAAAAAAAACAACTCAACTTTCTTGCCCAATCAAACTTGGATACAGGCATGACAACTTCGGAAACTTTTGACAGAAATTTTCAATTCCTTGACCAAGTGGAATTTATTCTTGTGAAATTTCAAATTCAAGTTATAGCATGCGTTATTTATCCAAGAACACTTTGTGAAAGGAGATGGTGTATTAATGGGCTTTTGTAGGCTTTAAACTGGCACAAAGGGCAAGAATGTTAAAAAGGAATTATGATTAATTCAAATGTCCCTGTGGTAATAAGAAAAATGTATGGATCGAATAAAAGTATCAGAAAAAATTGTCAAAGAACATTTGTATTATAAAAAGGGGGAGAAACAGGGTAAAAAAAATTAATAAAACATAATTTGCCATTATTTTTGCATAAAAATCAAGACAAGTGAAAATTGTTACATGCTCATATTTCTACTTAGATGATTTTGTTTTAAAAAAAAAACTTTCCGTGTTTGCAAAAGATAATGAGCAATCTTTAAAAAAGCGATTGAAGTATGAGGTTTAATGGTCATTTTATGCACTTAAAATCCTAAATATCACAAATTTATGAGAAGAGAAAAGAATATTAATACTAGACAGATTATTTTTCAAAAATCATGAAAAGCCATTAACTGAGAGATAGATAAAGAAAGACTTCCTGACTTAAAACTCCACGTGCAGCTTGAATCAAAATTAATTCCTAACGGAGAGTAAAATAAACTGAAAACCACCCACTTTGATCAGAAGAGGATGGAGGCATTAAAAGTGATGATAGTGAAATGGTTAAAACACCTTCAGAATTTTTTTCAATTAGAAGATGGCAGTGCAGCAAATTATAAATACAAAATTTGGTATGATTGAGAAAAAGCTGCACTTAAAGGATGATCAAAAAAGATAATAAAATGAGGTTTAAGGAAGTAATGGTAAAATTGAAAAATAGTATCTTTTCAAATGTAAGGCCCGCAGTTTTGGCACTTCGCAGCCAAAGAAAACAGTAGATGTTGCATTTTCTTAGGTATTTCTGATTTCAGTTGACACCTCATAAGTTAGCTGGCTTTTAGCGTGAAACAAAAGATATGCAATATAGATTCTTGAAATTAGTCTCAATGCTTTCATGAGAGTGAAAAATCTTATGTTTTACAATAAAAGTCAGCCAAATTATTTACTGTGAACTATAAAAATAGAGTAGATGAAACAACTACCGCAGCAACGTTCTTTGGTGCTTTTAACCTTGCTTGATATTATTTTTTTTTACGAAACATAGAGAGCGGTTTACATTCAAATTTATACCATCATTAAGACACTGGGAGCAGAAGTCTTCCTAATATATTCTATTCGAATCCTTTTCTTTGAATCTAAAACGTAAGTATAAATTAATCATTGTCAATAAATAGAAAATATATCGTAATGATTTGAAACAGAGAAATCAAAATAAAAAAGAAAGTGAATCCTCGAAAATTTAGTTGGACTGAACAAGATGAATTCAATAAGAAATTACTAAAAATGATTGAAATACCAGACATTTATAAACAAAAACAGTCATAATATAAAGGTGATTATAATAATTAATTAAATATAACATACATATGATAAGAGTAGGATTAATTTTTATCACAATTATTAGGTCATGTAGCGCATTACAGCCCTCAGTGCATACAGTAATTCCGCTTGCATGCGGGCCTCTAAAACCATCATCATAACATGTACCTGTGAAATAAAAAAAAAGGTTATCATAAGTAAAAAATGCAAAACAAATAAAAATGATACCACAAAAAAAGAAAGCAATGGCATTATTCTTTCTGAAAATATTTCATGGATGCATAGACAATTTAGTTCTTCCTTCCTATTGTAAGAAAACATCATTTCACAAGTTAAAAAGTGACTGCAAAGGTGGAAATCCAGTTTATCAATAGCTATTAAGAAAAGAACTTGTTTAACTTTTTAAGAATTTCCCGGCCCAAAATGACCGTCAGTTATCAGACTTCATTGATCAGTCATCTAGTCATCAAAATAATAAACAGTTCTTGACACTAATTTCATGACAAACATTTCATTTCTTTCCACGGAAAATCTTTGTTTTAAATAATCATAAAAACGAGAGAGATAAGGTTAGGAGGAATTGAGATTGCAAATACCCTGATAATCGACCCTTTTGCATGGGTTTAAATGGCGGATCGATCTATTCATCACGAAGCACTACACGCCCCTGCTACTTCAAAGTATGAAATCACATACCATTTTGTTTTTCTATTTAAGCTCCTTTCTCTGTATTATTTCATATTGGACATCGATACTTAGCATTTGAGCAGACATGATTGTTTTGGGCTATTTTTTTTATCACCAACCCCATTCAAACACAACTTTGAGACAGGTGCAACTGACTTTGTTGCAAAATAAAATTTGGAGGACTGAAAAAGGGCTAAATTGCTCCTGCTATAATACATTGAGAGAATGAATTGAAATTTTCAAGGAAGTGTTGGAAAATTAGAACAAAAATGGAGAAAAAGTGAGCAGTAAGGAAAACCCCTTGGACTGTGATATGATGAGAGAGAGCATACTTTTTTCAAATAGCTCTAATTTTACAAGAATAAATCAGAGCACATGTTATAGATATTCCACAAAGGTAATGGGCACTGAACACCCTCTTTTTTTCTCAAATCCTGAGACTTAATAAGTCGGAGATTTCTTTCCAAGTTCAGCTAACATCACAAGCCTTTCTAGGTCCAACATAATTATTGTCTCTAACGTCTCAAAAGAGACATAGTATTAGGTTAAAATTTCATTACAGCTTGCTTTGGAGACTTGCTCCATGCACCTACCGCTGTCTTTACCCAAACAAATATTATTGGTTTATTTAAATAAACCTCATCACTCGATCTGTTTGATCTTTTCATAGTTGTTTCTATGACCCAGATTACTGAAAAGGTAAGAATGGGCCTGTTGCAAACTTTTGCTAGAGCAAAACTAAGAGTTGTTTCCTGCAGATAATGCCCCAAAAATCACGATGAGCGCATCGGCAAAGTCTGAAATGCACTCATAACTTCACAATCTGCGTAAGATATTTGCGGTTTTTTGAGCTTCCCGCTTCG